CGCTAGTAGTAACAGGTGCCTTACTAGTAGTAACAAGAAGCTATTAGAAACAAGTGCCACGCTAGTAGTAACAGGTGCCTGACTAGTAGTAACAAGAAGCTAGTAGAAACAAGTGCCACGCTAGTAGTAACAGGTGCCTTACTAGTAGTAACAAGAAGCTATTAGGAACAAGTGCCACGCTAGTAGTAACAGGTGCCTTCTAATAACTTCTTGTTACTACTAGTAAGGCACTTGTTACTACTAGCTTATATATAACCTCTATTTATCTCAAAAATACACCCACCTATTTGCTCCCATCGCCCCCCCGGTTGCACCGGTACCCTTGAGGACTCGCTCCTGGAGGCTTCGCAGCTCGCCCAAGCTGGGCCAACGCTCCGCGGCGGCCCGGGCGAAGGCCCACTGCCGCTGCGCCTTCATGCGCGACAGCGTCCCCGGGTCGCCGAACGTGGCCGAGGAGTGCCTCGGCGGAACGGCGGAAGGGGAGTGTTCGGCGGAACGCCGTGGAGTGAAGGATGTACAACAAATGGCCAGTGCAAACTGGACATGAAAAAAGAAAATCATGTCCAGTTTGCACTTGCCTAGGTTAAAAGTTTTTTTTTCATGTCCAGTTTGCACAACCTACCACCGCGATGGCCTCCAACCTACGACCGCGATGGCCTCCAAGTGTGTGTGTTAGAAAAAAACAGCATCATAACATCGTGAGTCTTGAAACATCCGCACGACGACGGTGTGTCCGACAGTGATGTCAAAGGCCTACGCACAAAGCTTCAGAAATCTGTATTCATCTTGCAGAATGAGTCGAGTCGATGCTGTAACGTATTGTAACGAAGTCTTTTTTTTGTGCAACCCAGAACGTTTGTCAATTAATGTAATTTTTTTGTCTCTCCATTTCACTTTACACTCTTCTCCTTGAAGTCATAGTTTGGGCCCATACTACGCTCCAGCTTTTTCTGTATATTAGGCTTTGGATGAGCCTGAGTTCTTTGAGAGAGTCGGCCAATAAAGGAAAGGAAAACCAAAAGCTATCTGTCAGAAGCAGGAAGCCAGAACTCTACTTTAAAAAAATGACTGGTCCCGCAAGACCTTCCAAAAAAGGTCCCACCCTGAACAGGAACAATGGAAGCACCGATCAGGACCTATCATGATGCCACGAGAAGAAAAGAACAGCAACAAATCATCCCAAACCCAACGCGTCCGGCGGACGTGGAGGAGAGAGCGTTCAGCTCCTGCACAAAGCGCCGATCCTCCGCAGAAGGCCACACCATCGATCCGCGCGGCGGATCCGCGGATCTGCGCGGCGCCAATGGTGAGTTCAAGCAGCGATCCGAAGGATGAAAGATGGCGGGCAGATGGTTCTTCTTGGGGGTGCTTTGGTGGGTGACGAAAGCAATCCATGAAAGGTCTATGGTAGATCTATAGACTCTAAGCAAGACGACTAGAGTTTATAGTCATCGGTTCTTCACTGTTCATGGGCACGTGTTTGGGAGGCCTATGCCCTGCACCTATTTGCTCCGAAAGGTGATCTTTGCTCCACCATTCAACGGTTTCACCCGTTGCTTCGTCCCGACGAGATGTCGTTCGTTCGCTCGACGCTGTGGAACCCCCCGGTGAGAACGACATCGCGACCGGGACGTGCAAAACGCTGTAGTTTTAGGAAAGCCCTCCGCTGGTCGTTCGTGACGGTTCTCGGTGTTTTTTCTGACGGTGCTCGCTGATCGTTCAACGGTTCTTCCATGCTGATAAACGCTCCTCTGAAGCCTCTTGAGCTTCGTAGCTGCGAGCCAAGCGAAGCAAAACCCTCCAGCAAAAAGCTGGCCTCTTTCTGGAACAAGACTGATGGTATTGCAGTGGGGGTTGCTTGGGATCACGGTGCAACCCGGATATACCGCAGCCAAACAAGGGTAGAATTCGCCCCTAACGGAAGTGGACATGGCCATTCGGGCCGCAGGGTCAAAATGGTAGTGGTTGCAAAGCCAAACGAGGCAATTGCAATCACAAGATTCTCTTCTCAATCACCAAACGGTCGGGCTGTTCTATCTTCGGCGAACGTCGGGTGCAATTCGTCATCATTGGGGTGAATTTAGGTGAGGCCCGGCTCATTTCGTCACCACAGACAGAGTTTCACACTGTGCAACGACCGATGCGTTCTTGTTCTCTGCTTAAGTTCAAGACAATTTGAGTATTGTCAAGTTGAACTGCCGTCTGCTCAGCTGATCTTGATCAATGAATATGCTGTTGGTTTATACAGTATACGTCATATGTCATATAGGAGAAAAACAAACGAAATTGCTTATTAGTCGGTTAAAGACGCTCGATGATCCATGCAATCCGATACACTCTTGACGGATCCAATACCTGTCCACTGTCACAGGTATTGGCCTCCATCGGCTACATGCAGCAACTCGATGTAGGGAACTCCGCAAAGCCAAACACTCCCACAGGATCTCTCCAGGGAATTTGCTTCTTAGACTGAGTTTGGGGGAGTTCTATCACTGGGGGAGTTCTATCATATCTATCAATTGAGTTTTATTGATCAAATGAGTTTGTGGGATGTTTCCCTCTCTTAGACTCTTCATTTGGGGGAGTGAAAATTGATCAAGAGTCCACATCACTCGACAAGCTTTCCCACGCCTGCACCCACCAAGAGACCCCAAAAAATCTCTGGATCAAATCGACAAAAACTTCCAGAAATGAACATCGGACATAGTAGCTTCTTGTTACTAGTAATGCCAGGAGCTCCTAGTAGCGTCCTTGCTCCGTTCGTAGCGATGCCCCTTGTTACTAGTAGCTTCTTGTTACTGCAGACATGCTTCAGGTCCCTGTCGTGTTGCTACGGATAAACGCGCTGACCATCAAAAGGATCATGACTCCAAGCGAAGCAGAAACAACGGCGCTGGACGCGCACAGGTCTCATGCAAACGCAAAAGAGGTCTCGATGCACGTCGGGTGCTTCTGATGGAAGAGGGCGGTACAATTCAGGGAATAAATTCATACCTGGAACCTCCGGCAGTACCAAATGTCCCTTAGGCCTAGAGTCAAAACCTACGGCAGGGACTGAAGAAGGACGTTGGAAGATGCAGGTAAATAAACGTGTCTAAACGTTCCGTTTTCGCCCCCACATGTTCGCGGCTTCGTGGCAAATTGGGCTGACCGAAAACCATATACCATACCCACCAAACTATACTACAAGAAGGCCAACGAAAACATGATTCACAAACACAAACTCCTCAGTCCATTATGTCCGCACAACAAATACGAGCTCCCCAGTATACGAGTTCCCCACTGTCGCCACAACAACACACCCAGTGGGTCGCCCCCCCGCTGCGCCACCAAAGTGACGACCCACCAGTCCGTAAACCGAGTCTGGGTGGCCCGGCTTGGTCGGCCGAAAGAGATTGGAACAAGGCCAACATGCTCACCTGGGAGACGAAGAGGCGAACGGAACGACGCTGCGACCGGACGCGCGCCGACGCGGAGGCAGCGTACGTTGGAGCATGTTCTGAACGGTGTTTTTTGCGCCACGGAAATGTGCCATAGCTTCTTGCTCCTAGTAGTAAGGCACTTGTTTCTACTAGCTTCTTGTTACTACTAGTAAGACACTTGTTACTAGAAGCGATGCACTTGTTTCTAATTTATGATCCGAAGGTCGCAAAGGAAGATACGTGTAGGCCTCGTATGCAGATGTGTCTTCCAGTTATTCTGATAACCCCCAGTCATCCTTCGGTCGTGTTACTATGTGGGAAGACGTTGGAACAAACCGGGTGTGTCGGGTGTTTTTCCATTTTGGCCACAGCCAAATGTGTTTCATTCAAAGCACTGTCACTAATTCTTGGATGTTTTTTGGTTCTACAAGTGGCTCGATTTGGGGTACGACAAGCGAGGTCCACAAGCCCCCACGGCACGGCGGAGGTTTCACCCCCCCGAAAAAGCTGGCAAGGCCGGAAGAAGACCCGCGCTCATCAAGGCACCCCTGATCCGATCAAGAGATCTCTGACTGGTTCACCGAATGTCCATTCCCGGTGTCTGTGGTCCGTGCAGCATCATCCAGGTCCCTGATCGCATCATCAAAGGATGGATACCTCCAGGGACACCGTCGTCAGTGGGTTGCTAGGGGACGCCAAACCGAGATGGCAGTCAGTTCCGCTGATGCCTCTTGGTGCAAGCAGTGGGTTGCTAGGTGACCCGTTTTGTTGGGGAGTTGCCTGGCATAGTGAAGTGCTTGGACAGTCTGGCGACGTGTCGGGCGACCATCCCCACCTCATCACCGAAAGAAAGAGTAAGTAGTATTGCATACTCCTTGAAACTGTAGTAACAAGAAGCCTACTACTAGGTGGAGGCCATTACTACTAGGAGCGTTCGGACGCTACTAGTAGGTCGTTGAAGCTACTAGCAACAAGAAACGAGTAGCTATTTGCTACTAGTAGCGATGGCCTCCCCCCAGTAGCATCCTTGCTACTGTTGAAGGGAAATCATCACCTAAAATGAAGAATGTCTCACCACATTACAGTGTCAAAGCACAGCTTTCGCTGAATTTCTCGCACCCACGTGCCACAGCACCGACCAAAAGGCAATGACCAAAAACACCCCTGGCAAAAAAAGAAACGAAAAGCTGCACCGATGCCGTCCTCACTTCATTCAGTGCTTCCGTCTCCTGTACCCCTGGCGCGCCCAGCGCAGTCCGAAAAACCGAGGATCCGGTCCCACTCCGCGCCTTTCGCGCACCAAGTGGTGCAGAGTGTACTGCGGCTTTCGGTCCTGAAAGCGGATTTCGCCCGTGGAGAGCTCCTTCCGCCCCCAGCTTCGCTCGACTCCTCTGAAAGAGCGAAGCAAAGGACGATATCTGGACTCTCAACCGGAGAGACCAATCCTGGGAGAAATCGGGTCTCTGGATTGGTGACACCTCCCCACCAAAACATGGCAAAAGCTCCCTAAAGTTCCTGTTGGCCACTCAAAATGCCCACGGATTATACAATTACACCCATTTCATAAGTTGGACTTCTGGTTGGGACTGATTTTCCATAATTAACCGAAGCCCATCCAGGATGGCGTCGTTGGGAGCGGTTTCTGGTGCCTGTCGCACTGGGAGCTTTCTTGAGTTCGCCAGACTTCCACCCAACTGCCACGATTTCCGGTGGCCTGTCGGGTCCTATGAAGGCATCAGCGACAGAAAATCAAATGAGATCCCCTATGAAGAACCTTCCAAACATACATCCCAAAGACACCTTCGGTAATCTCCCAAGAAGCTTTGGCCCTCACCCCCCAAAACAAATGATGTCCCCCATCTCCCATACATGGCGCATCTGCGTTGCTCCACTTCGTCCCCGCCCGTCTCCGAGCGCGTCGACGCGTAGCGGGTTCCTCCAGACGCCGAGCGCTCTTAATCTCCCGGCGTCCCATGAGCTTCTTGAACCTGCCGGTCCCACCAGTCGACGGCAGCGAAGGCCATCCGTGGGACGATGGATGGTGAACGTGAACGCTGCTGATTGGTCTTTTTTGGGGGGAAACCGAACCGGAAGGAAGTCTGACCGGAATTGTCAAAGGACGTGAGTGAATTCATATGAATTTATCTATCACTGTGTCACTGACCAGTTTCACAGCTTGAATCTGGAAAACAATCACCAGCGGGTGAATCACCGCATTCAGGATCTAGCGAGCTGAGTGAGAAGGATCCTTCGGGATTATGAAAATCAGCGTTTTCTTCACCAAGCACTTGGGAATGTTCATGAATGTTCATGAGTTTCCTTCTAGCTTTGGTGAGTTCGAATGTATTGCCACAAGGAGTTTATAGCCCGACTATACCCAACACTGAAAGCAACCCCTTAGACTAGACTAGTGACTAGGAGAAATCACCCAGAAACCTGGAGACCTCTTTCACTAGTAGCAAGAAGCTACTATGGAGGCCATCGCAATTATTAGGTTGGAGGCCATCGCTACTAGTAACAAGAAGCTACTAGTATAATAAAAGAAAAATTACCTGGAGACCTGCAAAGATTCTCTGCTCGCGGCCTCCCATGCGAAACCACTTCCTGAACCCCATTGCGACCACCGGAGACCACCGGAGTATCCCGGGCCTTTCTTTGATACAAACTTGTGTTTGGGGGAAACGTGTGGGTGTGGTGTAACACCACAGTGTTCTGGCGTCTTGGAATGGAAGTCCACTGTGTTCTGGCCCTCGCACGTTCCCAAGGCTCAGGGAGCTCCTCGCAGCTGTAAGATGCCATGGCAGTCGCCACAGCGACAATGGGTAGGTCGCCACAGCACGTGCTCACCATGGTGTTTACGTCCCAAGTCACAAACCCATCAGTGGTTTCTACACCGGGGGGTTGGTCACAACAGCTGTTGGATTGTTTGGGATGTAGGCGGTTTTGATGGAGAGATCCTTCATCAATCCCTGACCATGCTCCAACTCTGGGCTTCGCGGACTTCTTCATGAAGGTCTTGAGCTCAAAGAACTTGTTGAGCAAAGGCCTCAGGATCATCTCAAAGAGATATGGGAAGCACCACGAGTTCGGTGCAAACAGCAATATCGTCAGCACCAACTCGCTCAACAACAACAACCGGCTTGCGTGTGACAAAAATTACAACCCCAAAAGGGGAATGAACACGTGTGCGGTTGGCAAATGCCATGTTTGCTTCATGTATATCAAAGAACATGGTGATAAGCCGAGACCTCAAACAAAGGCCAGTCGTCTGGTGAGAGCCGATTCCAACATCGGCAGAGTTCCACTTTTCAAGGAGAAACTATGAAAAGTGAGCGCCATGCAAAAGTGGAACTAAACCAAAAACTTTTGCCATGAAACGCCATGCGCAAAGGAGTTTACCCTGTAGATTTAATCTAAATTTGGGACCGTTTTGACCAAGCCCCAAAGGGTCTGGGAGAATAGAAATTCTCAGATGCTATGCAGAAAAGTCTCCTTGTTCCCCTATTGTTTAGCCGAAAAGGTTCCAGTATAAGGTCAGGACTCATGGCGCAAGAATGCGATATCTTTGATGTGGTAGTAGGTCTTGTCGTTGCCTTGTGACTTCTTCTTCGGATCCCGAGGGTAGATCCCCTGCAGCGAGGAGATTGTGCAGCAAGGAGTTGGGAGTCATGGGACTGGTACTAGATGGTGGCAAGGACTTCACAACGATGACTTCTCAATGATCTCATGGTCGAAAAGGAGCGACACAATCAAATTGGAGGCCATCGCTATTAGGTTGGAGGCCATGACTGCGGGACCGCACGGAATTCACTTCCTCAATTGTCAAGACATCAGGTGTGTGGCAAAATCCACTTGCCCACCCATCTTGCTTCATCGGGCTCCACTCCTCCACCATCTTCCGTGAAAAACTCTGTGGAGGAGCCCCTAGTAGCTTCTTGCTCCTAGTAGTAAGGCCAGGAGCCCCTAGTAGCATCCTTGCTCCTAGTAGCGTCCTTGCTCCGTGAAAGTTGTACAACTTGGTGCATCCAGGATCGGATTTTATGGCGTTCCATCCAGACACGGAAGTCCGTCGGTCGGCCTTGAGGATGCAAAGCTTTCGGAAGTCCGCTAAGGGCAATTGCAACTTCGCCAGGGCCTCCAGGGATGTCTTTCGTCTTTCCCGTCGGGTTTCACGACAGAGGCAGATGTGAACACATTGGTGAACGAAGAAAGGCGCTACTGTCAAGACTCGAAATGAGCGACGCTAAGAGTGTTGGATGTTTCTGTTGATTTTCTGGATATGTGATGATATGTGCGAATCTGAAACGGAGGAAAACGCTTCACAGAAGAAGTTCAACCTGTTCCACAGAAACTGGGCCATGTGAAAAGGGACCGTCAAACCTCGGCCGTCCCGTTCCGTCCACCAACGTCGTTCCTCCCATCGCCGTCCCGCCGTCCCGTCGTCCCGTCGTATCCGATCGACCCCCCACTCATCGTGTCAGCTGTGGATCTGCGGTGCCTGCGCACGCGTGATGTAGGCGGCTGCTTCGCCTTTCTTCCCTTTCTTCTGGCCGTGGATCTTGTCGGCCTTCTTCACACCACCTGGGAGGACCCCATCGACGGTGTGAAAACGCGTAGCGATCTGAAAAAGAATCGACGGCGCGATGGTTGGTGCAAATCGGTCCCGAAGATGGAATGTGCTGTTCCTTCTCTGGTGCACATCGTTCAAACGACGGCACACGCACTTTCTTGTGAGGAAAGAAGCCAGCGTTGGAATGCACTCGGCTGGTTGAGGGAATCCATGTCAGATTGACCAGCACCAGTCTTCCAAACCCCTTGAAATAGCAAATGCTCCCACTTCTTCTGCACCACCGTTTTGAAGCGAAGTGTTCAGTCCGTTCTTGTGGATCTGACATCCAGTTGGTGTTCCAGATTCACCAACAGCACAGTCAACTGGGAACTGGGAGAATGCCTCGACTGAAATAATACCCCCATGTTCATCGTCAAACGCCCTGTCTTGCCCAATTTTTTGAGGTTTTTTTTCCATCAACGGGTGAATACCTCGATTCTAATCGTTGGTCCAGTGATCTTCGAAAGCCCGAGGCATCTTTGGAGTCGGCGGCCACGCCTCTCTTGTTCTTTTTCACATTTCCTTTCCTCTTGGCCATCTTCACGTGCCTAGGCAATCAAAGACGCTGATTTGAAGTGGGCCATACGTCTTTACGTCTCTCCTCTCTGAGGGCAGAAGTTTAATCCGATCTAAATGGATGCTGTGGATCTTGGTGGTCTGAACGCCCAAGAAACAGAACTCCATGCGGTTCATGTTTTCTCAGAACCAACGAGAGCGAAAGCTCGCTCACTTCGAAGGCTGCGGAGGCCTCCCGGAGGGTTCCGGTTGGTTCAAAACGCATCAACTCTCGGCATCGCCTTGATGGAGTTCGAAGGCACACGGACCAAGGCGGGAGGAACGTGTGGTCTTAACAAAGCAGATTTGAACAGACTCTCTGTCGAACAAACAAGAGTGAAAACCATGGGAGTTCTCAAGGATTCAACGGAGAGCTATAGAACACGTACTGAATTTTGTTGACTGGCCATTGTCTAAGTCAACAAGCTGTCGAAACAATGCTCTTGCTGCCCAAACAAACTTGAACAATCAATGATCAAACTCCAGCTCAATGATGCTGTGGGCAAAATGGTTTTGCTTGAGCCAAAGTTCGATTTCACACACAAGTCGCTCTGTCAGATCCTTCAGTTTCGTTCGCCCCTCTTGGCACCCAAAAAAAACCTCATCGTACTGCTTCGCACGGTTGTGAATGCCGACCATGGACCGACCACCGAAATGGTGAATGTCGACAGTGTGTCGACAGTGTGTGACAGTGGTGGTAAAATCCATTCGTTCCAAAAACACCTCTTCAGGGCTCCCCTCCCCACCTCTCCTGAAGCCTTCTCTTCTTCCACTGCACCACTACGCACTCAGTCACTCCAAAATCGCACAACTGTTGACCCCTTTTCTTCGTCGTCCAGCGGTGGTGCAAAGCTCGTCGCGAAGCTCGTGCGCCGCGCCTACCGAGGCTCGACGCATCGGACGAAAGAACTGTGGAGGGGACCGCCCTTGAAGGAGCTGCAAGGGAATGACGGGAAGTGCAAGTCTCCAATTTAATGTCCTCTATGAGGTGGCAGTTTTGGTACCAAAACGGATTCTGTTGAAGAAACCAACTTCTGAAAGAACACGCGCCATATAAAACCTGAACTTCTCTTTCACCAAACGTGCTTCCCAACAGGTCGAGGTTGTTGTCGAGTAGTCTCGATCCAAACGAAGCAAAACCTTCCATGTGGGCTTCGGGCGCCACTGAATTCTGCAAAAGGAGGATGTACATATGAAGGTTCCAAGAGCCACTAGAAAATCCATGAATATTATCAGTATTTGTCCTATCGTATAATTCAATGACAAAATTACTTAATTCATATAAGATTTTTGGGCGATAGGCTAGGTCATATATAAACTCATAAGGAGCGAATTAACTATAATTAGAGAGTTCTTGATGACATTAATTCGCTCATACAAAATACATATTTCTTTTATACCCATGTGGCTTTGGGAAATCAACCGAACATCTATAAAGTGTTCCGAACAAAAAGAGGGTTTCAGTTTCAGCTGTCGCTCTTCATGGCTCACATTTCACATCTAAAGCTTCTATAGATCTCTCTTGCTGCACTGCACTCACTTTCAGCTGTCCATTCCCCCAGTACCCTGCCTGTAGCTTCTGCTCCAGTGGACCACCGTTGGTCACGCCATCCACGAAGGCGTCCAACTCGTGGAAACGCAAAGTCCCACTGTGCACCTGGCCAAAGGCAAGAGACCCCCAGACGTGGAAAATCATCGAGGTAGACGAAGGAGGTCTCTTCCATCGGGAAGTCTCTTCGGAGGTTCGGTGTCCCCGCGGTTAAAAACTGCAGGTTCAAAAAACGTGTTGAGTAGGAGTTTTCTCCGCT